TGGGAAGCAGAAATAAATGTTTTTTCCTTTTTCTTGTTTTGGCTAGGAAAAGAACTCAAAGACCACCCAGTCCCACCCCTGCCATGGCAGGGACACCTTCCACTATCCCAGGCTGCTCCAAGCCCCAATGTCCAACCTGGCCTTGGGCACTGCCAGGGATCCAGGGGCAGCCACAGCTGCTCTGGGCACCCTGTGCCAGGGCCTCAGCACACTCATAAAGAGGAAGTTCTTGCCAATATCTAATCTAAAATCTCTCCCCTCAGTTTAAAATGTTGGATGTGGGTAAACCAGACAAAGTCATCCTATGCTTTGTGCCTCACCAGCCAGGAATTGGGAAGTCATTTGGGATTTGATACCTGGCTCTGCTGTTTCTCCCTAAGCTGGGTGAAACTCCAAAGTAAGCTTAACTTACTTTAAAGCAGGAAAATATAAAACCTGGCTCTAAAGGGATCCCAAAGGAATGAGGGTTCCCTTCTGCCCCAGCACCACAGCAGGATGGGTGCAGATGTTTTTTCCAGGCATAGCTTGTGGGGCTGACTCATTCCTGGCAGGAATTTCCCTCTAACCCTCTGCATATCCCCTCCTGCCCCTCTCTCCACCTGCAGATCTTCCCCCAACAGCAACAAGGGGTGAGGGCAGCTTAAGATCAGCCAAGAAGCAGAAACCTTCCCTGAATCCCCGACATTTCAGCTGGCAGCAGCTGTGCAGGGATGTGTCCAAGAGGCACCCCTCCCTCCCAGCTGTGTGTTTTGGGAGGCAGGGGAGGGGAGTTCTGGGAAGAGCTGCCCCATCACAAGGGTGGGGAGACTGGGCATCAAAGTAGAGACATCTCATGTGCTAATTGTCCCTGTGGTGGCCTCGAGGTGCAACCAGGGCTGGGCAGGGCACGTGAGGGAGCTCAGCCCTCCCAGGAAGCCTCAGATCAGCTGCATGTGCACAAACAGGTCCAGCAGGAGCCATCCAGGGATGACCACACAGCCAGGTAGCCCGTGATTCATGGGATAACCATCTGCTGAAGCTGCAATCACTCACTTCCCACCTCCAGTTCTCCTCCAGGCCAAGTGGCAAAGCCACAGGGGCAGAAGGTGCCTCTTGCCATGGCCACCAAGCATAGCCTGGTCCCACAGCCCACAGCAGCAGGAGCTGCCAGGGCTGGTGCTGCAGCAGCTGCTGCTGTGACACGAGACCTTAACTCAGCTCCATTGGATTTAGTAGGTGCAGGGCAGCCTTGGGGGCACACCTCAATTCCTCAGGGTACAGAACCTGGAATGAGATCTTGGAAAGCTGGAGATGGAAGGAAAGAGTCCCGAGGAGGACCTGATTTTCAGGAAAAAAACAGAGAATCACGGAATCACAGACTGGTTTGGGTTGAAGGGACCTTAAAGCTCATCCAGTTTCACTCCCTACCATGGGCAGGGACACCTTCCACTATCCTAAACCCTGTCCAACCTGGCCTTGGACACTTCCAGGAATCCAGGGGCAGCCACAGCTTCTCTGGGCACCCTGTGCCAGGGCCTGCCCACCCTCACAGCCAAAAATTCCTTCCAAATATCCCATTGAAATCAACCCTCTTTTGGTTCATAACCTCATCCTATAACTGCTTACCCTGACAGATGCAGCAGCTCAGGATATAGGAAGGGCAGAGATGTGCCCCCCTCTCCAGGTGTGCTTTTCCTCCACCAGTTATCCCAAACACACCAAGCCTCCCTTTCTTTCCCCCCACTCTGGGCAGCCACAGCTTGGATGACAAGTGGAAAATGATTCCTTGAATGAGTGTGGCTGGATCAGCTGACTGGGCTGGCTGCAGCAAATCTCGTGGTCACACAGCTCTAAATGTGCAGCAGTGGCTGCCTAAGCCTTTCCGTTTATAGGACAGAGAGGGGAGCAGGGAGTGTGGAAATAAATCCTCTGGAAGCAGAAGGGGTTTGGAACAGAACAAGACTCCCCAAGGGGAACACACGGGGGTGTAAGCACAGAGCAGGCATGGGATGGAGCTGATGGAGCATCACTGACTGTTCTTCTGATGAGCTGAGATCAGGGAAAGGCACAGAACTCTGGGAACTGGGATGGGAGTGCTGGGGCTGGGACCTGCCTGCCAGGCTGGCTTGGGGATGCAGTGTTGGGAGTGCTTACAGGAGTGTGAAACACCCTCCCTGCCTCCCTCCCACAGCCTGGCTCATCTCTGACCCCTGGCCTCCCCACAGGAGCAGAACTCCGGCCCCAGAACAAATCCCAGCTGTCTCCCAGCTCTTCCCTGGGCAAGCTGCCATGCCATGATAAAGCTGCTCCTCCCTCCAAGGCAAGCCCCTGAGCTGCAGCTCCTTGGGAAGGCAGCCTGGGGATGGACTGTGTCAGGGAATAACAAATGCCTTTAATTCCCCCTTCATCCAGCAGCTCCCTGTGGGAGGCAGCATGTCCTGAAGGAAGGGGAGCAGGAGGTATCTGGAGCTGTGTGCACAGCCACTCAGATGCCTGGTAAAACACCCCAGACAGGCTCTAAGAACCCTGACAGGCTCTAATTTCTCTCTCCTGGGTAGATATAGGGTAAAACTTGCTGCCTCACTTGGTTATCCCAATGCAAGGGGCTGTGCGCAATCCCTGAGTTACTCTGCAGGGATTTTCCTCGCTGCTGGCAATTGCAAAGTCACGAGAGGAGGGGATTTGAGCAGGAACTTCTGCTGAGGTTTCACCTCAAATATCCATACCCTGTGCATGAATGTTCTGTGTCAGACCTGTAGGGGTTTTTCAGGTCCATCAGTGGGGGTTGCTGGCACTGGCACCACTGGGGCTGTCAGCTCTGATCATGCACAGCTCGGGGCTGCTGGTGACTGAGAACAGGCTTGGGCTCCATCCAGTTCAGATCCAGTTAATTAAAGGAAATAAAACACTTCCCTACAAGCCAAACCCCCTTTTCTGGGTGTTGTTTACTGGGAGGCTGCAGTTCTGGACCAGAGCTCAGTGGGAGACCTGAAAGGTGTCACTGCAAACCTCTCTGGGGGCTCCAGATCTGCTAAATCCTGCTAAAGGGATTGCCTGGTGCTTGTGCATCCCAGCACATCCCTCTGGAACACATGGACATGTCCCAGAAACAGAGAAGCTGTGGCTTCCCCTGGACCCCTGGAAGTGTCCACAGCCAGGCTGGACAGGGCTTGGAGCAGCCTGGGACAGTGGAAGGTGTCCCTGCCCATGGCAGGGTGGGACTGGATGGGCTTTAAGGTCCCTTCTGACCCAAACCATTCTGTGCCATTATGATTCCGTGATTTTATATGGGAGAGCTGCTCTGAGTCATTCCCACCCCTAAAATCTTTCTGACAAGATTCTCCTGCAGATCCCATTTGTTCCTTGCCTCTCTCCTGCAGGCACACTGCATCCCCAGCCCAGCCTGGGAGGGATTTGGGCAGCCAGGGGAACGTTCCTCAGGAGAAGAGCATCCTGCATGTCCCTCAAAGAGAAGGAGAAGGACTCCCTCTCTCTGCTCCCAGGCAGAATAGCATCTTTGAAACTGAAAGCTGGAAAGACATAAGGAATCTCCTGGCATGCTTTGTGCTGCTCAGGCACCCATGCCATGCTCCCACAGCATTTGGGGTTATCTATGCTGTCATAACCTTATTTCTAGTGATAACTAATAAATCACAGTTGAAATTATGTTTGGCAGAGTCTGGAATAAGTTAAATTCCCCTTCCAGGCCAGGTTGGATGGGGCTTGGAGCAACCTGGGATAGTGGAAGGTGTCCCTGCCCATGGGTGGATCTTTAAGGTCCCTTCCAACCCAAAACAAGAAAAAACAAACAAACAAACAAGCAAAAATGCCAGGGGTTTCCACATCCATCTTTGCTTCCCTTTTCCCCTCCTGGCCTCTGCTAGCCTTGTTGCTCCTCTTGGCTCTGCTTTTCTCCTTCCAGCAGGGAGGAGTGCCCTGGCAGAGCATCATTCCCAGGGCAGGTGGAAGGTGACACCTCTCTGGGGACGCACCGTGGGGCACATCCCGGGGCTGGGCGGTGGAGACAGAGCAGCTCCTGCTCCTGCTGCAGGGGCTGGGGCTGGGCAAGGCTGGAGCCAGCCCGGGCTGGTGCCGGAGCCGGGCAGCGGGGGGAGCAGCGAGACCGGGATGTTCCTGCCCGGGCCAGCGGCGGCTCCCCAGGCTCGGGAGATTCCCTGGGGGAATCTGGTCCCCGCAGAGGGGCTCACCAGTGGGGATGCCGTGGAGCTGGCTGGGATCCTGGCTGGGCACTGCTCCCTGGGGAACCCCGGCAAGGGCAGCAGTGCCAGGGGGAGCCTCTGCAGTGTGCCCAGGGCTGAACGAGCCCTGCAGCGCCCTAACTGGATCCGTGTGCTCCCAGCCCTCTGCAGCTCCTGAACCCCAGCCAGCCCCTCTCTGTCTCCACTATTTTTACATCCATCTGTTTCCGCTGGTCTCTCTGCTTTGGTGCAGCCTTTTCCACACTGACACTTCCACAGAAATCCTAAATATTCTCATTCTCCCGAGTGTTTAAGCATTAGCTGCACTGGGGACCAGGGGAGCTCAGGACAGCAGTGCAGGGGCTGTGCTGTTTATTGTGGGTTTATGGCACTTTCTGAAGCATGGGAAACTCTTGGCCACAGCCATGCAGAGCCAGAAGTGTATTCCCAGTGCAGGACTCAGGGCGTGGGATTGGAGCTGGGACCGGAGACACAAACCCTGGTGGCAGCCAAGGCTGGAGGAGGTTTTTCACCCTGATCCCACCCTCAGGGACAGTGGTCCTGCTGCCCCAGGGATGCAGGGCTGCCACTAAGGCATGCAATTATCTGTTTAGCTGAAGCCAGAGCACTGGGATTTTCCACTGGGACAACACAGGTGGTGAGGCCCTAAAGGACCTCTGGAGTGCACGGTGCCACGAGCCCAGTGCTTCTCATGCCCACAAGGATTTGTTTGCACTGAACTCTGCATCAGCCCTGTGGTGCCTGAGATTCCTGAAGGGCTTTTGGGTGTCCCCCCATCCTGCCCCACCTTCGACTTCATACCTGCTTCCACAGGGTGACCATGGACCTTCCTGCAAATGCCAGGGAAATTAGAAAGGCTTCAAGTAGCAGCAAATTGCTGGATTCATTGCACATGGTGAATCAGAGACAGAGCTCAGAGTGGATTCATTGTGCATCCCACATTTGATGAACTTGCCTCCAGCAGATCCAACTACTCTATTAACTGGAACTAGGGAGAAAATCATAGTTAAATTGTTAATTCATCAAGACAGGTGCCATCACAGTCAGTGAAGGTATGTCTGGATTTGGGGGCTCTTTGGAAAATGAAGACAACTCCACAACGTACAAATTGCAGTTTCTCCATTAATTTCTGTGTCCAGGACACAGAATCTATATCTAAATCTACAATATCTATATATCTATATTATACAATATTATATATCTATATAGATACATAATCTATATCTAATCTACAATAACCAGAACTGGGTATTCCATATCCAACAGAAACCCTTGGAAGTTCAGGACCTGAGTGTTTCCCTCCCACTAAACTGCAGCCATGACTCGCATCCTGAACTGTTCAAAACTCAGGAGCTGCCTTAAGTTCTTTGCTGCTGCTTCTCTGTGTTCAGGCAGCAAAGGAGCTTGAAATAATTCCCAACTGGATGGGGCTAAGCCAGATCCATGCAGGAGAGGAGGGAGCTGTAAGAGGCTTTGATTCACATGTGTCCTTGTAACCACAGCATCCCCTGGGTCCCAAACCAGGAGTGATCCCAGGGGATTCAGGTCTTGACGTCAAAGCCAACAGAGTCCAGAACTGCAAATCCAAGATGTTTGTGCACGGCTGGGAAACATCCAGCACCCTCCTGAAGGGAATCAGGAGAGAAACAACGATCCTCATTCATGTAAACCTCCCACCCCACCTCTCCCAAGCACCTCTGCCCCAGGCTGAACAAGAGACCTTCTGTACAAAGCCAAATTCAGCAGCTCTGATGCCTCCTCCAGTGTTGGGAGCAGCCTGTCAGATCCAGGGACATGCAGGAGATGTTCAATGTGCTGAGTGCTGGGGCAGGAGCCTGGACTGTGCCTCCTGGAGGTGCAGAGAGAGGCAGCTCCTGCATCTCTTCCCAGTGTGGGAAGCACAGTTTGGGCATCCACATTGGAGAAAGGCATCAATCATGGTCCCGCAGGCTACAAAAACACAAAGCAGAGCCTGTTCCTGCCTGGGGTTTATGGCAGAGTTAACTAGGAGCAGGGAAAGAAGACAAGGATACAGAGGCTGTTCTGTAAATCCAGAGGACCCCTTGGCCATGAGATCCATCTCTGCTGGATGAGATTGGAGCTGGGATAATGCCACACAGAGCAGCTCCACATCCTGGGGTTCCAGCCCTGAGCAGACTGTCTGTGCAGAGAGGGAGAAGATGCCTCTGGGACTCCCTGTCAAGTCCTTGGCATCCTTGTGGAGAAGGAAAGCAGCACCAACCAGCCTGGCTCTGATTCTGCCACAAACTCACCTTCCAGGACTCAGTCTCCACGACTTTTACAGAGGATAATCAGCCTTGCCCCACTTTATAAAATCCTGGGACATCTGCAGATGCAGATCTGTTGAGTCAGATCTGCCTTGTGTGACTCAGCTGCCCAGATCCCATCCAACAGCCACGGAGCTTCCCTTGCTCCAGGATCTGTATTTGCTGCTCTTACTGCCAAGTGTGTGACTATTCCCAAAATTAACATGCCTGTGAGTTTTTAAATTCATTTGGGAACACCAGGTAAAAGCCTTTCTAGCTTGATTCTGAAATGGGCAACAGAGAAAAGTTCACTGGACGATCCACAACTTTCCTCCCAGCAAGTTACCAGAGACAGAAAACTGAGAGTAGGTTTTGCTTCAAAAAATAAATATAACTCTCCCTGATGCAGGAATGTGACTCTGCAACACCAGGAGCTGTGGCAGAACAGGGATGTGACCCTGGAAAAGTCTTTAATGTGTGGATGCAGCCCACTGGCAGCTGGAATAAAATGTGAGTGGCTCCTTCTGCTCCCAGGAGCAGGAGCAGGCTGCAAGAATGCAGCAGGGTTGCATCATGTGGGCTCCTTGAATCTTCCAGAAATCTGCCACTTCTTCCCTGCCACATTTTCATGGGGAATCTATACAGTAGCTGGGAAAAACACACTGCAATTCTCTACTGGCATATTTGAAGCAGGCAGGAGTATTCAGGCTAAATAGGATTTCATGTGGAGACACAGGGAAAATGTCACTTTTTTCCTAAGGGTCTCTGCCCTTGGAGATATATCCTGGAATACATCCTGGCCTCTTGCAGACACATTCCAAGCTGCCACATTATGGATTAAGCACCCTAACCAATCTGGACCTATGGAAAGGGATATTTGCCTCCCAGGTGGGTGCATTTTGTCATCCCAAGCAAAGCTGGGATGCTCTGATCTGGACACAAACTGGTTTGGTCCCACCAGATCAGCATAACATCCCCAGGGTTGGGGAAACCGTGGTCCTTGGAAACTAGGGAAGGATGAAACCACTTTTCCTGTTTGGTTTTACACTAAGGGAGAGATTTTAGATTAGATATTGGGTAGGAATTGTTCCCTGGGAGGGTGACCAGGCCCTGGCACAGGTGCCCAGAGCAGCTGTGGCTGCCCCTGGATCCCTGGAAGCATTCAAGGCCAGGCTGGATGGGGCTTGGAGCAGCCTGGGATAGTGGAAGGTGTTCCTGTCCATGGCAGGGGTGGCACTGGATAGGTTTTAATATTACTTCCAACCCAAACCAGTCTGAGATCCTGTGATTCCTGCTGTATCTCTCTGAGCAGCTTTTCTGCTGCCTCTGCAAGAGCAGAATAGACAAAGGGGCTGCCAAACTCCTTCCTGAGCATCCCTTTGCTTACACATCCTCAGCACTTGGCTGAGGAGGATTGCACACGCTGTTTGTTCCTGCTGGGCCACTGCCCAGTGCTGAGCCCAGCGTGTCCTTCCTGGGATTCATCCCTCCCCTGTCCTTTCCTGCCTTCAAACTGCTGCAACAACTCCCCAGAGTCCCCAGGGCTGCCCCAGACCTGTCCTGCACTCAGCCCCCTCCTTCCTCTGCCATCAACAGTGGCAGTTTTAGGGCTTGGCTTGTTGGGAACCTGATTGCCAGCAGGGAGAAGAACTTTCCGGGACAGCAGGAGTGGGGAGACAGGCAGCTGTGGGACACTCTTGCACACACAGCACAGGCTGAGCCCACCCCACCTCCCAGCCCCGAGCAGTGCTGTGCTGGAAGCAGAAGATTGGCTGGCTGAGGATCCCTCTCTGAGCCAGGCTCGGGTTTAGGGGCGTTTCTGTTCCCTCAGCTGGCTCCAGAATAAACAGTTTCCTTTTACATCCCGCTTTCCTCGGGAGAGCTGAAACGCTGAGGGGGGAGCGTGTGGGGCTGAGCCTCCTCTCAGCTTCCACCAAATGTGAAGGGCAGGCAGAGCTCAGACTTTTCACATTCCCATATGTTCCTGGAAAATGCCAGGAAGAGACAAGGGAGAGCTCATTGCAGCAGAGTGAGCTCAGCTTTTAACAAGACCTCAGAGATTCCCCTCCACAGCTCCACTCTGTGCAGAGCAGATTGACTACCTGGACCTTCTCTGCTTGTATTTCCTAATAAAGGGTGAAAACCTGGAACTGGCACCTTCCTTGCTGCCTGTTTCCAGTGAGGAAACTGATGTTGCAGCATCCCAAAGCCCTGGTGCTCTCACATCCTGTCCTTGAGATGGCCCCTGCACCCGTGGGGCTGATGTGGCTGACAAACCAAGCACTTGCTTTTCCTTTTGGCTGCTGCTTTTTGGGAGGATGCAGCCAGTCCCAGTCACTGTGAGGCAGAAGGGAGAAGGTAAGGAGTGCTCATCACCAGGGCTCATCTTAGAATCATGGAGTTTAAGGTTGGAAAAGTCCTCTAGGACCATTGAGTGAAACATTACCCTGCAAGGCACATCCTGGAGTCCTCTTGGCTTGCCACGACCCCAAACCAGCACTCCTAGGTCAGTGTAGGAACAGCACAGGATCCCACAGCCCCGTGGGTCCTCCTAAGAGATTGCAAATCCCTCTTGCCACACCCACAAGGATTCCATCTCCTCCTGCCTTAGCCCAGCTTCCAGGAAGGTGTGGGATGCAGGGGCTTGCAATCCAACCTGCCATCACCCGTGCTGGCCCTGTGCTGAGGCCACACAGATGTCATTCTTTCCACCCAAAAGCACCAGAGGAATTCCGCCCCCCTGCCTGGCTGTGCTGGCAGGAAACCCTGTGGATTTTGAACTTTTCTCTGGGAGTATTAAACAGGGATTACAAACTGGGATCAAGGGAATCTCTCTCTGCTGTGCCCTGTGGGAAAGCTGCAGCTGCAGCCTCTGTAGCCTGTCCTCCCTGGTTTGTGCACCACGACATACCTGGATGATGCCATGGAGGGGGAATTTTCTCCACAGCAATCAGGTCTTTTCCTTCTCCTCCACCACACTTGCAGAGGAAGCAAAAGGAGATCGGTGCTTTGCAGAGGACCCACAGAATTTGCCCCTTTAGGACATGTAAACCCAGTGAGCTCCCCGAAAGCCTGGAGCTGGCATGGCTGGGAGTCTGGCAGTGCCAAACTGGGCTGGCACGGGGAATTTGGCTCTCACTGCTGCACTCCAGACGGGGCACAGATCCACGGGATGCAGCCTTTCAGCTCCACTGCCATCCTTTGTGTGCCATCTGCTCACACAAAGCTGGGCCCTCCCAGCTCCAGCCAGGCCAGACCTGGGCATGGCTGAGAGCCAGAGAGGGGGAAAAGGGCTGGAATCCCACTCCAGTGCAGGGCACTGCTGCCAGCAAAGCTGGGATGCCTGGGGCTGCATGAATGGGCTCCCAGTGCCAAAGGAGGGTGTGCAGGGAGGAAATTAAAGTGCTGATCCCAAACTTGTCCTTGAGCTGAGCCAAGAAACAGAATTCCCCCAAAATCTTTGCATGTGGGGACCTGGAGGAGCAGACAAGCCCTGACTAGCTCTAGAGCTCAGAGCCCCTTCCAGTGCCTAGAGGGGGCTTGTGAAAAAGAGGGAGAAAGATTTTTTATAAGGGCAGAAAATGACAGGACAAGGGAGAACGGCTTTCCACGGCCAGAGGGCAGGGTTGGCTGGGATATTGGGAAAGAATTCTTCCCTGTGTGAGTGGAGACATCCTGGCACAGGGTGCCCAGGGCAGCTGGGGCTGCTCCTGGATCCATGGAAATGCCCAAGGCCAGGCTGGACAG